TTGTTGTTTGCTGGTTTGGATATTGATGCTGGTGTGCAGTTAAAAATCTGTGGTGTGTTGTTACCATTATAGAATGTAGTTATCAGTAGTACAGATTTTCTCAGAAGATTGGTGTTTAATAGTTGAATATGTGGAAGATTGATGTTGGTGTGCAGTTAAAAATGTGCAGATTATCTCTAAAGTATTTACAAAAAATTTCAGAAGTTGCAGTTAATGTGTTGTGTGTTTTGTAGTTGATGTGTTAGGTTTGGTGCAGTTGAAATTTTGAATGAAATTGTGGAAGATTGATGCTGGCGTGCAGTTAAAAATGTGCATATTTTCTCAGAAGTGTTTACAGAAAAGTTCAGAAGTTGCAGTTGATGTGTTGGGTCTGGTGCAGTTGAAATTTTGAATGAAATTGTGGAAGATTGATGCTGGTGTGCAATTAAAAATGTGTAGATTTTCTCAGAAGTGTTTACAAAAAATTTCAGAAGTTGCAGTTGATATGTTGTGTGTTTTGCAGTTGAAATTGTGGGTGCAGAACATTGCAAAAAATTTTCAAAAGTTGGATTATTGATGCTGGTGCAATAGTGTTTTACTGAATTTGGAAAAGTTCAAGAAGTTGGCGGTGCTGTGGTGATTAAGCTCTCATAAGTTGGTGCTGGTGCTAACGAAAAGTATTATATAGTTCAGATTAAGGGAGCATATTAGTAAACAGAGGATCAATCTCTGGAAGTTTATAACAGGCTATAACATAGTTACATGGTCTAGTTTAAGGGAGCATATTAGTATAATAGGGTGCCTTTTGTAATCTTTAAGAGTATCTTATGGGGTGCTCTTTGTAAAGTTCTAAACCAGGTTAAAACTCTGCGTTTTATTCTTTACAAATGCAGTATATACTGCTTCAGACTTGCAGCAAAATTCAATGAATTGAAACAGAGGTTTTCATCTCCTTTTTTTCGTTCTTCTTGATTCTAGCTTCTTCTTCGATTCATTCAACTTTATTGTTGTTAATTCGTATTAAGCATTAATTCTAAGTTTTATTATTGTGTGTAATGCTTTCAATTCTTAAGGATTTGAGTTGAATGATATCATGGGTTGGGTTGAGATCGAGAGATGAAACCTGATTTGTCTAAGGTAATAAAACCATAGATTAAGCGAATGCTAAAGATAGGTTATCACGATTTATGAGGCTTTGGTAAATTCCATAGAACGTAATGATCTCTTAGCTCCTAAATCTAACTTAGAGATATTTTGGGTTGTTGTTTAAGGGTTAATTTGCTAATTGTTTGAGAGAAAGTTAGTGAAATATCAAAGAGTTTGGCCTTTAGAATAAGCTTAGTTAGGTTAGTAATAATTGTCAATGCGTAGGATTAAATTGGTGTGAAATATGTGCCCTAGGTTTAGTCATATTGATCTGGTTACCAAAGTATTAATAAAATTCTGCTTTAGTTTAGTTTTTAGTTTGTTTTCCTTTTCATTAAATTCATTCTTAAAATTATGTTTCATCAAATAGCAATAAAATAGACTAGTTTGGTACTTGGCAGGTAGTTCTTTTGGGATTCGACACTCATTTACTCGAGCTTTATTACTTTCACGATTTCATACACTTGCGAACAGCCTGTCAACAGCTTACACTGAATGCGTATATGATAGCCGTGGATATGTATATCACATACGGCAGAAACAGTTTGGGCGAGCTAACTGCGCTAGAGCTCGGTTGCTCATACATCCTGAAGAAGAGTAAGGACAAGGACTCTTTTTACCTTTCGAAGCATCCTACGATCGAAGCGGGAATACATAGTTACCCCAGCAATGTAGGGGCGTACGAGACGAAATTCTTTTTCTTTCGATATGATGGCGTTTGCCAATTTCAGGAGCCGAGTAGGTTCCCTTTTCTTTTGAGTTGGCGAATTTGCTTTTAAACTTTGCTAACAAGCTCTTTGTTTCCTTGCAATCAACAAGACGACTAGGTTATCGGCTCTCAAGGATCCAGATAGGATTACTACCTTCGGTTTTTTGCCTGAAGAGAGCCTCGATGCAAGACTGCTCGTGGCAATTGCAAACTTGTAGAAGTATGGTTTCTTTAATCTCAAAGTGACCTTAGAGACCACATCGAGTAAGCATTGTAACCTTAGCTTGTCTTTTGTTTATTCATACAGCGAACCATTTTGTTAGCATGTAGCAACCATGCCTCTTGAGGTGCCCAGATTGCCACGACCAAGACAGTTCTCCTTTCCCCAGTTAGGTGTCATCGGACCGGTTGGAGCGGCTCCCAGCAATCCCCCCCGTCGGAGGGGCACCGGTTGGTGCTCCAGTCTGACCTGCTGGCGCTCCCTAGTCTTTCGCTGCTTGCCCAAAGCAAAAAAAAAAAGGGCCCAGAAGTCCAAGAAGTGGAGCAACTTTGGGCCAAAGAGTCAGAGTCTGAGATAGAGGGTTTGGGTTTTAAGCCCGAGACGTCGTAGCCTTACCAAGCGTTCCACTCGAAAGGGCCACCCAGGGACACGACCGGCATCTCCATTGCCCTTGAGGGTCTACAGACGAGGCAAATGAGGCTGTAGGTCTTGGGAGGAGGTCGGGCAAGGAGCCAGAGGAGGAAGCTCTACCTATTGTGGGTATGGGGACGCCCGTGCTGGACTCGATGGGTCAACTTTCAGATCATCTACAATTGGTGGTTTTCACCTTGCTAGAGTACGAGCTCGCGGAGGCGTTTGAGCGATTCGTAGCCTCCAACCCCATGGACCTGATGTCCACGTCCTTCCAACACTTGAGCCAGATAAAACGAGCTATCCTTGGTGAGGACTTATATTTTCTTTTCAGTAGGCAGGAAACTAACTCTTTATTCTCTTCGTCACGCAGGCCATACTTTCTATTCACCTGTCTCTGCGGAAGGTTCAGCTAGGGGCTGCCGAGGGGTGGGTCAGGCTGAGAGAAGAGAATGTGTGGCTTAAACAAGATTTAGAGGCCGCACGAGCAGAGATAGACTCATCCACCGTTTAGACAAATCAGTTTTGTCTTAAAGGAATGCTATTCTTTGCACGGTGGACTTTTAGAAGGCCGAGTTGGAGAAGCGAGGAAAAGAAGTAAAGGAGCTCCAAAAGACAATGGTCAGACTCACTAAGGAGGCTAGCGAGAAAGAAGTGGAGCTACGAACGAACTCCAAGCAGGCCTTGTGAGCAAAGCAGAAACGGGCGCAGCTGTGGGAGACCCTAAAAGCAAAGGTGCGTGCTTGAGGCCGAACTCCAATTCACCCAAGGCCGAGTCATTTCGCTGACTACAGAGATGTAGCAGTAAGAATTAGAGATTGAGAGGAGGGCTGCCGAGTGGACAATCTAGTCCATCTATTGCCCTACGGTCGAAAAACCCTAGGATAGATCTATCTTACCTCCCCAAAGAGTACCAGAGCACCCTCAATTCTATGGCGCAAGACGAGGATGAGGAAGCGGCTCGGGAACTTGACCTAGTAAAGGAGTATCTGGAGTATGTCCTAGATGAGCCCGTGCCCAAGCAGGGGATTGGCGATCAACCTGAAGATTTGGAGGTCGCACCTTCAGGACCTGAGGATGAGGACCGGTGATCTGCTTTTGGACTGTCTTTCCCTTGTTCGCTCATGTACTTTCTCTTTTTTTATTATCGATAAATAAATATTTCTTTCTTAACCTTTTATGAGTACTTACAATTTTTGTGACATTGGTACAAGCCTATTCAAACTGAATTATACACATGGAAAAGTGATTACAAAAGAACTTATCTTATTTACAAGGATTAAGAAAAGTAAAATCTTTACAAGGAAAAAATGAGTTCGGAATTACTGATAATATAGGCGGAGATGTTCAGCATTCCAAGCTCGTGGTGCTTCGAAACCATTCAACCTTTTGATATGATAAGTCCCGGTCTTATCGGCCTTCCCAGTTCGGCCCCAAAACTCCCGCAGTCAGTTCTCCTGTAGGCAGAGAAAGACTTTTTTTAGAACAAGGTCGCCGACCTGGAAGTCTCTTCTTCTAACCTTGGAGTCAAAGAACCTTTTCGCGCGCTGCTGATAGGCTACAATTCTTAGCTGAGCCTTGCTGCGATGTTCTTTAACTAAATTCAGACTTGCATGGATAAGCACCTCGTTGTCTGTCTTGTTGAATAGGTCTTGCCGAAGTGAACAGTTCCTACCTCTACAAGGATCATTGCTTCGCAGTCATATGCTAGCGAAAAAGGGGTTTCTGAGGTAGAGGTTCTCGGAGTTGTCCTATATGCCCACAGAACTTCAGGAAGATCTTTAGCCTAATTTCCTTTGGCTGCGCCAAGTTTGGCATTCAGAGTGTGCTTGATGGTCTTGTTGACAGCCTCAACCTGACCATTTGCTTGCGATCTTACGACTAAGGCAAATTTTTTATGGATACCCAACTCGTCGCAAAACTACTTGAATTCCTCATTATCGAACTGCTTCCCGATATCAGAGATGAGGGTATGAGGAATCCCATAGCGGCACACAATGTTTTTGAAGATGAAGTCCTTGAGCTTTTTGGTGGTGATTGTGACCAATAGCTCTACTTTGACCCACTTGGTGAAGTAATCTACTATGACCATCGCATATTTGACTCCCCCTTTACCAATTGGCATGGGTCCAATGAGATCAATTCCCCACATAGAGAATGACCAGGGGCTGCTCATGGTTATCAGCTGGTGGAAAGGAGCTCGCAGTATGTTCGCGAACCATTGGCACTTGTTGCACTTTTTAACAAAGTTGTAGGTGTCTTCCTGGATCAGGGGCCAGTAATACCCTTGACGAATAACTTTGTTGGTGAGGAATCGTGCAGCCGTGTGATTACCACAGATCCCTTCATGCATCTCCCTTTAATATAGTTTGCTTCCTCATCGGTTACACATTGGAGGAGAGGGGCATTAAACCCTCGCTTGTATAATTGGTCTCCTATAAATGTGTAATGACCTGCTCCGGTTCACAAGGTTCTTGCTTTGATCTTATCGGTGGGCAAGGTCCCGTTTTGGAGATACTAAATGATAGGGGTCATCTAGGAAACTGACTCAGTGAAATTCACGGCCTGTTTAGGCAAGTTGATACTAAGGGCCTCTATGAACCGAACAAGAATGCTCTTTGGTGCATCTGAGTCCAACGACAAGGTTATCTTTGCCAAGGCATCTACCACATAAATGTTATCTCTGGGAATCTGCGTGATCATAAATTGCTTGAATGGCTCGAGTACGACCTTAGGTTTCTTCAAATAACTGATCATATTTTCTTCCTTAGCCTGATATTCCCCTAAAATCTGGTTGACAACCAGCATGGAGTCGCTGTGGATGCTAATCGCAGTTGATCCCATTTCTCTTGCCAACCGCAATTTGGCAAGTAGAGCTTCATACTCAACCTCATTGTTGGTTACTTTGAACCCAAACTGGAGGATGCCATGAATATGAGTCCCTCCGGGACTTGAGAGGAAAAGGCCTGCCCCAGCCCTTTTCCTGTTCAATGATCCATCGATGTATAGGCTCCAGGTTGATAGATTTTGGACAGTTTCTTGGGTGACTTTGCTGGCCTGTTGCTTTGATTAATTCATCGGATGATATGAGAATTCTGAGATGAAGTCGGCAATGGCTTGCCCTTTGATGGTTGCTTTCAATCTATACTGCAGATCGAACTGACTTAGTTCCATGGCCCACTTAAGCAATTTACCCAAAGCCTCTTGTTTCTGAAGGACTTGCTTGAGCGGGTAACTGGTCAATACATGGATCGTGTGGGTGTGAAAGTAAGGTCACAACTTTCTAGAAGCAATCAGCAGGGCATAAGCCAATCACTCCATTTTCGGATACTGGCCATTGGATCCTGTTCTCTTCCCGAACTAAAGCTGCACTGACCACATACTAAGAGACGGACAGGTACAGGAGGAGAATTTCTTGTGGAAGAGGCTTGGACAGGAGAGGTGGTTTTCCGAGGTGCTTTTAATGCTCTAGAATGCCTGTTCGCACTCGAGAGTCCACTCAAACTTCTTATTGGCCTTGAGCACATTGAAGAATGGCAAGTAGCTATCTGTTGCTCTCGATATGAAGCGATTGAGTGCCGCTATTCGCCCATTGAGGCTCTGAACCTGCTTTCAGTTGGTCATGCTTTTCATATCGAGAAGAGCTTGGATTTTCTCAGGGTTGATCTCTATTCCCCTCTGATTAACCATGTACCTAGGGAATTTTCCTGAGGACATTCCGAACGAACATTTGAAAGGGTTGAGCTTCATTCTGTACCTTCGGAGGATGTCAAACATCTCAGCGACATGTGCTATGTGATCTGAAGCGACATGCGACTTGACTAACATGTCATCAACATACACTTCCATCGACTTTCTGATCTGCTTGGAAAACATCCGGTTACCAATCGCTGGTAGGTTGCTCCAGCATTTTTTAGGCCGAAAGGCATAACCCTGTAACAATACAACCCCTGATCTGTGACAAATGAGGTATGCTCTTCGTCTGGCGCATACATCAGAATCTGATTGTATCTCGAATATGTGTCCATAACACTCAACAGCTTGTGCCTGGTGGTGGCATCAACGAGCTGGTAAATCCTTGGCAGGGGAAAGCTGTCTTTTGGACATGCTTTATTGAGGTTAGTGAAGTCAACACAGGTCTGCCATTTGCCACTGGGCTTTTTTACCAGAACCGGGTTAGCAACCTAGCTCAGGTATAGCGCTTCTTGGATGGATCCATTTCGGAGGAGACTATCCACCTCGACTTTTAAAGTAGTATACTACTCTAGATCCATCGCTCTTCTCTTCTGGCGGACCGGCTTGGCCTCACTATCAATGTTCAAGGCATGGAAAATGACATTCAGGCTAATTCCGACCATATCGGCATGCGTCCATGAAAACATGTCGATATTCCCTTTGAGGAAGCTGGTCAGGTCGCTAGCGAGCTGGGGGTTGAGATTGCTTCTAATCCTCAACAATCGGCTCAACTCGTTCTAGTCGACTAACACTTTGGATAAATCCTCAACAGGCCCACTGGAAGGGCATTATTGGATACGAGGATCCATATTATCTTCGGTTGGGCTAGGCTGCAGTTCGATTCAGCTGATCGCCATTGCCTGTTTGGGAATACCATGCTGTTAGTGTATATTAGTGTATGCCCTAGAAACCATTCGTGTTGTCNTAAAGTTGCATTGACCACATACTAAGAGACGGACAGGTACAGGAGGAGAATTTCTTGTGGAAGAGGCTTGGACAGGAGAGGTGGTTTTCCGAGGTGCTTTTAATGCTCTAGAATGCCTATTTGCACTCGGGAGTCCACTCAAACTTCTTATTGGCCTTGAGCACATTGAAGAATGGCAAGCAGCGATCTGTTGCTCTCGATATGAAGCGATTGAGTGTCACTATTCGCCCATTGAGGCTCTGAACCTACTTTCAGTTGGTCAGGCTTTTCATATCGAGAAGAGCTTGGATTTTCTCAGGGTTGATCTCTATTCCCCTCTGATTAACCATGTACCCAGGGAATTTTCCTAAGGACATTCCGAACGAACATTTGAAAGGGTTGAGCTTCATTCTGTACCTTCGGAGGATGTCAAACATCTCAGCGACACGCGCTATGTGATCTGAAGCGACATGTGACTTGACTAGCATGTCATCAACATACACTTCCATCGACTTTCCGATCTACTTGGAAAACATCCGATTAACCAATCGCTGGTAGGTTGCTCCAGCATTTTTTAGGCCGAAAGGCATAACCCTGTAACAATACAGCCCCTGATCTGTGACAAATGAGGTATGCTCTTCGTTTGGTGCAGACATCAGAATCTGATTGTATCTCGAATATGTGTCCAAAACACTCAACAGCTCGTGCTTGATGGTGGCATCAACGAGCTGGTAAATCCTTAGCAGGGGAAAGCTGTCTTTTGGACATGCTTTGTTGAGGTTAGTGAAGTCAACACAGGTCTGCCATTTGCCACTGGGCTTTTTTACCAGAACTGGGTTAGCAACTTAGCTCAAGTAGAGCGCTTCCTGGATGGATCCATTTCGGAGGAGACTATCCACCTCGACTTTTAAAGTAGTATACTACTCTAGATCCATCGCTCTTCTCTTCTGGCGAACCGGCTTGGCCTCACTATCAATGTTCAAGGCATGGAAAATGACATTCAGGCTAATTCCAACCATATCGGCATGCGTCCATGCAAACACGTTGATATTCCCTTTGAGGAAGCTGGTCAGGTCGCTAGCGAGCTGGGGGTTGAGATTGCTTCTAATCCTCAACAATTGGCTTAGCTCGTTCTGGTCGACTAACACTTTGGATAAATCCTCAACAGGCCCACTGGAAGGGCATTATTGGATACGAGGATCCATATTATCTTCGGTTGGGCTAGGCTACGGTTCGATTCAGCTGATCGCCATTGCCTGTTCGGGAATGCCATGCGGGATGCTTTTCCCCTTGCACGCCATCTGTACTGCCCTTACATAGCAGTCGCAAGATACACGCTGAGATCCGCTCACTTCCCTTATCCCCGTCGGGGTGGGGAACTTCATCTTAAGATGGTAAATCGAGGTGACTACTTTGATGTTTCTCAGTAGAGGTCGCCCTAGGATGCCATTGAAAGCAGATGGGTAGTCCATTACTAAGAATTCAGAGATTTTGGTCATCTTGTCAAAGTCACCCAGCATGACTGGAAGCGAGATTGTTCCCTTAGGGATCAAGTGATCCCCGATAAAACCATACAGGGGGATGGAGGCAGGCTTCAGGTCGACCTCATCCAATTTCATTCTTTCGAAAGCTTGTTGGAATAGGATGTTCACAGCGCTTCTGTTGTCCACCAACATTCTGTGGACGTCGCATGCCCTATTTGGGGCATGATGATGAGAGCATTGTCATGGGGATGATGCAATTAGACTGCGTCTTTTTCAGAGAAGGTGATTTCCTCCCCTCTGCAAACCTTTGGTGGTTTATGCTTCGTGTTCATTACACTGATGGGGTCGTGATGGGCTGTGCGAGCATCTTTCCTAGGTACCTCACGAATTCCTTATGAGATGCGGTCCCTCAAATATAACTCCTACGTTGTGCATACCCTTACGGCCACAACGCTTCTTACTCGTGTCCTCTTGATCTTTCTCTAGCACGAGAGCAGAGTCATCAATATACTCTTTAAAGTGCCCATGCTTGATGAGGTCTTTGATTGCTCACTTGAGGGCTCGACACTCATCAGTGTGATGCCTGTTATCTTGATGATAGCAATAGTACTTTTTACTTTTTCTAACTAAAGTGGGATTTTTCATGGTGTCGGGCTCCCCGAGCAGGCTAGCCTCTTTTGACTTATCAAGAATAGCTGAGACAGATGCATTCAGAGGGGTGTATTGACTCTTGTTGCTATCGTGACGAGGAACTAGAGCATAAGACTTCTTGGGCTCATATCGTTGTTTTTTTCCTTTCTGCTGATCGTCACTAGCCTACTTGTGATCAGCCCCCCCCCCCCCGGAGACTAGGTGCACTGCTCGAATGGCCGAGATCATGGCCACTGAGCGCCACCATAGAGTTTTCAATGCAGAGGTACTTCTCCATAAAGCTGTAGAAATGGGTGAGGGAAACATCGTCCTCGGATTGCAGCTCTTTCCACAGATCCGTCTATGGGTGAACTGATAATCTGAGGATTATACTAGTTTATTTAAGCTTTTAGGCTGGATTTTAGATACTTCTTAGTTCATTTTTGACTGAATTGCTACTTAGTTCCTTAAATTTCGTGTTTCAAGTTAAAATGGGCAATTTGAGCGAATAAAGACAGAATTGGAATTTCTGGACTCAGAAGTAAGTGGATCTCAGAAGTTGGGAGAGTTCTGAAGCAGAGTCAAGCACGATGAAGCTTGTTACCAAGGGAGAGCACCGAAGATCTAAGATTCAAGCAAAGAAGCAAGCAGAGGGCAATTCTATAATTTTAGAATTCTTCAGGAAGCTTCGCCGCAGCGAAATGAGCTAGTCACGCACCAGATTCAGCTTCTTTTGTCGCTGCGGCGAGATTCCTTCTTCGTCGTGGCGAAGTCTGCATTTTCTAGTTTTTGTAAAACGCACAGTTTTACTTTTTAGGTTTTCTTAGGATTTGGCGAGGTATAAAAGAAAAACTTAGTCTTTTTGCTGGGAGTTCGTCTTCGAGTAGGGTTTAGAGCTATTTACATTTTCTTAGATTCATTTTGGGCGAATTTAGATTTTAAAAGGGTGAAGATTCGAGATTAAACCAGTGGATTCGTCAATTGGGGAGATTTCTTTTCTTTTCTCTCGTTTACATTATGTTGAACGTCGGTATTTTCTTTTCTTTTGTTATTAGTGTTGATTTAGCCATGAACTAACCTATTTTGGGTTAGGGTTTTGATTGTAATTCAGAATTTTATGGGTTAAGTAATAAATTGTTTTCTTTTCATATGATTTTGCTTTGATTGTGTGTTTACTCTGAATTTACTATTTATATGTGATGAACATGATGAGATTGAGAAATGAATCAT